GAGGTCAGGAGCACTCTGAAACAGGTTTTCCTTCAGGATGGGTCTGTACATTGCTGCATTTATCTTTCCCTCTATCCTGACTTGTCTTCCAGTTCCTGCTGCTGAAAAACATCCCCACTGCCACCCCCATGCTTCACTGTAGGGATGGTATTAGCCTTGTGATGAGCGGTGCCTGGCTTTCTCCAACCGTAACGCCTGGCATTCACACCAAAGAGTTAAATTTTAGTCTCATCAGACCAGAGAATTTAGTTTCTTACGGTCTGAGAGTCCTTCAGATGCCTTTTGGCAAATTCTAGATGGGGTCCGTCTCTATTATACAGGCCTGATTGGTGGATTGCTGCACAGATGGTTGTCCTTCTGTAAGGTTCTCCTCTCCCCACAGAAGAACGCTGGAGCTCAGACAGAGTGACTATCGAGTTATTGATCACCTCCCTGGCTAATACTGTGTTCACACGAGACACAGAAGCGTCAAGCGCAAGTGATTTACAAGTTAAGTCAATGCAAAGGTGCGAATAGACATCCTGCGGTGCGATATGCTCGAATGACAGGAATTTTGTGAATGCTGCAGTGCGAATGGCGCGATATGTGCAAATGATGCGATACACGCGAATGTCGCAAATTGTGTGAATGGTGCGGTGCGAATGGTGTGGTGCGAATGGCGCGATATGTGCAAATGATGTGATACGCGCGAATGTCGTGAATTGTGTGAATGGTGCGGTGCGAATGGCGCGATACGTGCAAATGATGCGATACGCGCGAATGTCGTAAATTGTGTAAATAGTGCGTGCGAATGCCGCGATACGTGCAAATGATGCAATACGCGCGAATGTCATGAATTGTGTGAGTGGTGCGGTGCGAATGCCGCGATACTTGCAAATGATGCGATACGCGCAAATGTCGTGAATTGTGTGAATAGTGCGGTGCGAATGGCGCGATATGTGCAAATGATGCAATACGCGCGAATGTCATGAATTGTGTGAGTGGTGCGGTGCGAATGCCGCAATACGTGCAAATGATGCGATACGCGCGAATGTCGTGAATTGTGTGAATAGTGCGGTGCGAATGGCGCGATACGTGCAAATGATGCAATACGCGCAAATGTCATGAATTGTGTGAGTGGTGCGGTGCGAAAGCCGCGATACGTGCAAATGATGCGATACGCGCGAATGTCGCGAATTGTGTGAATGGTGCGGTGCGAATGGCGCGATACGTGCAAATGATGCGATACGCGCGAATGTCGTGTATTGTGTGAATAGTGCGGTGCGAATGCCGCAATACGTGCAAATGATGCGATACGCGCAAATGTCGTGTATTGTGTGAATAGTGCGGTGCGAATGGTGCAATACGTGCAAATGATGCAATACGCGCAAATGTCGTGAATTGTGTGAGTGGTGCGGTGTGAGTGGTGCGGTGCGAATGCCGCGATAGGTGCAAATGATGCGATACGTGCGAATGTCGTGAATTGTGTAAATAGTGCAGTGCGAATGGCGCGATACGTGCAAATGATGCAATACGCGCAAATGTCGCGAATTGTGTGAATGGTGCGGTGCGAATGGCGCGATATGTGCAAATGATGCGATACGCGCAAATGTCGTGTATTGTGTGAATAGTGCGGTGCGAATGGCGCGATACGTGCAAATAATGCAATACGCGCAAAAGTCGTGAATTGTGTGAGTGGTGCGGTGCGAATGGCGCGATACGCAAGAATGGCGCTGCATGAATTGAGAGATTTGCGCACTTAACGCGTGAATCGTGCGAACTGCTTCAGTGGACATTGGGGCCGCGTTAACCAATCAGGAGCTTGCTCTTGTGGGGGCATGATTATGACGTAGCACCTGTTGTTGGTGTCTTGGGGTAAAATCCTCCTGCACACCGACAACAGTTCATCAAACTGGGCTCGGCTCAGTCATAAGCACCGCTGAAATCTTCCAGTATCCAGGTTAAGTTTCTGGAGAAGTTTATGAGCTCACAGAGCTGGGTGCTCCTCTGAAAGGATCTAGTGGACTGCTCCAAACAAATCAACACTGTTTTTCCAAATTAGCTGCTGAAACATCTCAAGAATGATCAATGGAAACAGAAAGTACCTGAGCTCCATTTAGAGCTTTATGGCAAAGCCTGTGAATACTTGTGATTTTTCAGATTTTAATAAATTTGCAACAATTCCAAAAACTCTTTTTCCACATTGTCATTATGGGGTATTGTGTGGAGAATGTTGAGGAAATAAATGAATTAAATCTATTTTGGAATAAGGCTGTAACATAAAAAACGTGGAGAAAGTGAAGCACAATGAATACTTTCCGCATGCTCTGTAATAATTGTTGTTTTGACATTATCAAGTACAGATATGGACAAAAGCATTGGTACACTTCCATGGAAGAAAAAAGAAAAATACTGTGGTCACTGAAAAACTGGAAATCCAATCATGCTTTCAAATTGTGGTTTAAAAGAAGCATTAAACAAAGGCAAACTAATGAAACTGGCCTGAACAAAATTCAAGGGTACCAACAATTCTGTCCATGTTATTAAAAATCAAACAAAAGCTCATGTGCAAAGTACAAAAGTATTCACTGCACGTTAAAGCCTAAACAATTGGTAATTAAAATGACCATTTTACTTAAGTTATGAAACCAAAAATCTCTGCAAGACATTATATAGGTAAATAATATCACACAAGTAAGAGTGCCATTTTAAAATACATTTAAGACACATTTCCTGTTTTTTTTTGTCCATTTCGCCAATGAAAAGTCTTCAAAAACAAAGCCAGAGCAGAACATTTGTGTCTCTAAGAGCAAAGTTCCTGAATGAATCTATTTGTTACGGTGGCAGGGAAGTGCAAAACAACATTACAAAGTTTGAAACACTTTTACAAAGCTCGAGACAAATTTACATTTTGAAAAACATGTTTACCTATCATCAGACACAATTACATAGGAAAAACAATTTTACCAAGGACGAAACAAATTGACATTTTAGAAAACAAATTAACAAGATGCAAAACACTTTTACAAATCCCGAAACAAATTTACAATTACAGATTCCC